GGGGGGGTGTAGTAACAACAGCTAAATACACCTTAGATGCTCAGAACCTGGTAGTTACTTGGTCCTTGAAGTTGGGTGACAGTCAGATTGGCCCCACAATAGCTGTCTCTCTCTTGGGGACAATTCCTTGTTAACTCAGTCCACAAGGCAGGTGATTTAGTAGTCCAAATCTGGTGCTAGAATCCCGGAAATTTCCTGGAGAGCCACTGATCCCTAGTCCACGACGAAAGCTTGGAAACACTGGTTCTGCCACCAGTGAAGGGATCATCAGCATTGGCAACAGAGCGAACCAACTGGCATGGCAGTAAGAGGGAAGCCAAGCCATGGAAAGGCGAAATAATCTGGAGGTTCAGAGCCTCCTACCTCCACTTTCTTATTGCTGGGATGACAGGCATGTGTCACCACATGTGTGTGTGCAATGCTAATGACCAAAGCCAGGGCTTTCATGGGGTCCCATTGGTCAATAATCGGCCTTATTTCCTGAGCAATTAGAGTCCTAATCAGAAAGTCCTCACCAATCCCTATGTCTTGAAGTGTACCCCATGTTTCCTCCAACAGACTCACGTCTATGTTAAAGTCTTTGAACCATTTGGAGTTGATTTTTGTGCATGGTAAGAGATGAGGACCTAGTTTCATTCTTCTATATGCAGTTATCAGTTTTCCAGGTACCATTTGTTGAAGACGCTGTCTTCTCTCCAATGTGAATTTAGGTATCTTTATATTTATATATAATTAGCATGTTATCTGTAGTTCTGTGGGCTTATATCTGGGTCTTCTATTCCGTTGACCTGCTTGTCTGTTTTTGTGCCAGTACTGAGCCATTTTTATTGCTATACTACAGAGTTGGATAGAGTAACAACCCCAGCACTGTGCTTTTTGCTAGCCAGGGTCTTTTGTGCTTCCATATTAGCCCTCCCTTGTGACTTTCAATATGCTTTCTTTGTTTTGTATCTTTGGTGTTTTGACTGTGATGTGATGTGGGGTTTTCTTTTCTCTGTCTCTTGTACCTGGCCAGGCTTCTCCCTAGTTGGTTACCAAGAATTTGGGAAATTTTCTTTTACAGTTTTACTGAAAATGTTTTCTATGCCTCTGACATGGAATTCTTCTCCTTCTCCAGGGCCCATAAGTCATAGATTTGTTTTTTCTATGGTATCCCAAAGACCTCACATGCTCCATTCTTACACACACACACACACACACACACACACACACACACACACACACACACACACAAACTATCATAAACTTTGACTGAGTGATCCATTCCTCTTCCTTAGCTCTCCTGCCCTCTCTATGATCTTGTCTGTTGGCAAAGCTTCCCGATGAGCTTTTCGAATTATTAAATATTTTATCTCCTGCATTGTTTCCATTTGATTTTCCTTTTCTATCTCCTTTTCTAATTATATTTTTTATATCCTAAAATTACTTCCTTATTTCATTCATTCTATAGGTACAGACTTCTTCCGACTAGAGTTTCCTAGCCTGGGTTCCTTTATCAGGAGATAAAAACCTGATACCTGTGACTAAGAATGTGAACTTCCCACAAGTAGGGCTTTGAAGGGATGTGGTAGACCTACCCAGCTGTCTTTTTCCTATGTGCAGGGAGAGCACTGCCCTCCCCTATCACAGCCTGAACTGTAGGGAAGGGAAACTGTCTTCTCTGACTGGTAGATTCATGCTCAGGTTTCTTATCCTCATTTTCTGTTTTGTTGTGTTGCTGTCTTTGTTTGTTTGTTTGTTTGTTTTGAGACAAGATCTCACTATAGATCCCTGGCTGTTCCAGAACTTCTTGCTATGTAGACCAGGCTGGCCTCAAACTCACAGAGACCCACCTACCTGTCTCCTAAACGCTGGGATTAAAGGTGTGCGCCACCATGCTCAGCTACTTGTTTACAGCCCTGTTCTCAGGGCTTACCCTGCTTGGGTCTGCACTCTACAGTCTACATCTAGTTTTCAGTTGTGGAGGCTTCGTGCCCAGATTCCCAGAGCTGCGCCTTCACGCCGTCATGGAGATGACCCGTGGTGATTCACAGGAAGGGTGGCTGACACCTTGGTCTGGAACAGGCTTTCTGCCATCAGGCAGGGTTAGCCGTGGACATACATCCGGCCACCTTGTGCATCAGCAGTGGCTGAGGTGTCAGCGAGAGGCTGTGAGGTGGCTGTAAGTGGGCAGTCCCTAGAAACAGCAGTCCACAAGAATCCCTTTGAGATAGAAATGTACTTAGAGTGCATCTAATGGCATCTTTTGTAGGCCATTAGACAAAGGAAGCACCAGGTTAGGTTAGAGAGTGTCTATGCTGGCAATTAGCCAGACTACCCCCAGTGATTGTAACTGCTGTGGCTACAGCAGTAGGTTCCTAGTGAGGTCATGGAGGAAAGCTCACTGGCGGCGTGAAGAAGTATTTGGTAGTGTAGCATGACAGAAGTA